GGCAACGAAAATGCATAGTTTGCTAACCCATCCGCGAGACGGTTAGCTTCTCTATACACATGTGAAATTCGGACTAGCCAGTCCTTCGATAAAAAGCCATAGCACAGACGTACTAGGAAGGACAAGGGATGAGAATCCCCAATCCCTGTCGTAAGAAACTCCACCACCATCTCAGAATCCACCTCCAATTCCAGTCTTGTAATGCGCTGCTCCCAAGCTATGTAGAGTCCATAGTATACTCCCCATAACTCCGCCAAAGGCGCCGAACACCTGCCAATATTCAGCGCGAAGCCTCCGCACCACTCTCCCGCTTCATTCCGTAATACTCCCCCAGCTGTAGCTAGTCCCGGATTGCCATGTGACGCGCCATCAGTGTTTAATTTGAACCAGCCCGTTGGCGGAGTCACCCATTTGATCATCTTCTCAACCCGAACAGCCTTGGTTACACCGTTACCATTCAAGACTTTGGCCGCCATTACCTCTTTCGCCAATTCCTTGATGAACCGTACCCTGTCCTTCCAAACCCGATTGTCACCGAAAATGTTCCCACATCTCCATTTCCAGCCCCACCAAACCGCCATTGCGAACATCGTTGGCCATGATTCTCCATCCTCTCCTCCTCCGCCACCTAGATTCACATACAACCATTCAATTAAAGACATAGAAAAGAAATCCTGTCTTCTCCTCAATGGGACGATGCGTATCCAAATTCCTGCCATCGCTGGACAATCACGGAGCACATGAATAATGGACTCCACACCATTCTTGCAAATCTGACAAATCTCGGTGTCACACAAATGTCTCCTGAATCTCTCCACATTAGTCATAACCACTTGCTTCCCAACCAGCCATAAGAACACACGTACTCTTTCTGGTGCAATTACCTTCCACAACCGCTCGTAAAACTTATCCATATGCTGTCTTGGATATTCATCTCTTGTTATCAGCTCATAAGCTGATTTAACAGTAAATTTCCCATTAGTCGTCGCTGCCCATGAGAATCTATCTTTAGCTCCTGTTACCGTATCCAAAACAACTGCAGCAAGCTCCAAACGCCTATTCTCGGATATATAAGGCATTATCTTCTCCCAGTCCCAACCCGATCCGTTTCTCCATAGGTCTCTGGCCTTAACTATTACATTCTCCGCGGGTAGTGGCTCTATGACTGTGTCCATGATAGGCGTCTCCAGCAGCCATCTATCAGACCAGAAATTCACTTTCTTACCATCACCAATAGCCCAACCATACCCTTTATAGATCACCTCACGTAGCCCAATACCCACGCTCCTCCACGTAGATGACCAATTACTCTTAGCCTTAGTCCAAGCAACATCTTGTAAGTCTCCAACCTTATACTTACAGCTCACCACCCGAACCCAAAGGCTAGTTTTCTCATGTAGCAATCTCCAACCCAATTTTGCCAGCAAAGCTTTATTCATCTCACAAGCCGTCCGTATACCCAGCCCTCCATCTTTTTTTGGTAAACAAACATTTTTCCAGGAGACCAAATGCAGCTTCCGTCCCTCTCCATTGCTCCCCCAAATGAAGTCTCTCGCTGCTTTATCTAACTTACATAAAGTACTAGCGGGTAGCTTAATAGTACTCATCGAATGTACCGGAATTGAAGAGATCACCGCCTTTGTAAGGGTAATTCGTCCTGCCAAACTCAACATTCTCCCCTTCCACCCCGCTAATCTCGTCGAAATCCTTTCAAGAATCTCCCCAAATGTATCTTTATTGATGCGTTTCTGCAAAACGGGCATTCCCAAATATTTACCCAAGTCTCTTGTCGATGCAATACCACTCTCATCACTGATCATCTTACCCAAATCTCTGGAGACATTGTCCGAGAAAAAGATTTTGGACTTCTCAAGACTCACCTTTTGTCCTGATGCTAGACAGAATTTTTCTAGCACTCGTCTTATTACCCGAACCTGAGCAACCGACGCTTCTGCAAATAATATCAAGTCATCCGCAAAACAAATATGCGACAGCTTAGGACCTCCCTGCGATAAACTAATCGGCTTCCATGCTTTCGTTGCAATCTCATAATCAATCAAGTGACACAACCTTTCCATACACAAAACAAATAAGTATGGGGACAGCGGATCACCCTGGCGAAGTCCTCGTAGAGGCTTAAAGGACTCCGTCTTTTCACCATTCCATAACAAACTCATAGACGGATCCGCAACACACTGCATTATCCATCTTCTCCAAACTTCAGAAAACCCAGCAGCCTTGAGGGTATCCTCTAGGAAATCCCATCTGATACGATCGTATGCTTTCTCCAAATCAAGCTTGAGTAGCATCCATCCTTTTCGGCCTTTCTTACGTCTCATAGAGTGTACCGCCTCCTGTACCACTACTATATTATCCGTACTTAAACGACCAGGTATAAAGCTTGATTGCGCAGGACCAATTAATTTTGTCATTACCCCTTTCAGCCTACCCACCATAGCCTTTGTAATTGTTTTAAACAACACATTACATAGACTAATAGGTCGAAATTGGGTAATCTTCTCTGGCTTTCCTACCTTAGGTATCAATACCACCATCGCCTCATTGGTACCCTTAGGCAGTACACCAGTTCTGAAAAACTCCAACACAA